ACAATTAAGATATTTATAGAAAGGAACTAGTTCAAGTTTTTTTAGAAATATACCGCTGACTAACATTTCAAAAAATAAAAATAAATATAAACAAAACTACTACTATAGAAAATTACCTAAATAGAAATCAATAAAAGTTAAAATCAATCAATAAAATTCGTCAAAGACCTTAAAATTATTACCAAAATCCTTTCTCAATCTTATATTCTGGTTAAAGCTTAAAGGTTAAGTTAAGTACAGCAGGCCTTATCTATGTCATCGAGGAATACAGGGTGACAATTTGAAAACGAACAGTATTTAATATTGCCTCTACCTATTTTTCTTGTTTTTAAATACCAAATCAAATACAATGTCAAATACCAAATAACCTTATTAAAGACATTGAACCGATTTATAATTTCAATAGCTACCCTATCCCATTAAAGTATAGGTTACAAACGGTTTAAAATGACGCTAGAAATAACTTAATATTATCAAAAGTACAGAGAAAAGAAAAATCAGACAAAAGATTTGCTGTTCAATATAAAAAGGGCGACTTGCGTTTATTAAAAAAACGAAACGGGCGACAAAATATCAAGTCCGTGCTTATTGGGTCCATATGAAGTAATAGAAGATGTATCACCAAATGTAACCATCTTTAAGGACAATAAGCAAATTTTAGTTCATATGAATCGTACTAAAATGTATTATACATAGTTAAGAATTATTCTTAAGTATATTTTGTTATAGATTAAAAGGGCCCTACTATTTATTATATTTACTCTAATTCTACTTCGATCCTAATGTTCACCTTCATATATTTTCTTACCTTTTTTACTCTTTTCTTTTTATTCTTCTTATTTAGTTATTCTTCTTATATTGTTAAAATTATGGAAAAAATATATATGGTAAAAGTTCCTATAGGTTAGGTATATGTAGGCTGGTTTTTACTTCTGTAAATTTCGGAAATTTCCATTTCTGAAGATATCATAGTAGACCACCCTATATATAATATTGTAATATGATGGTATAGACCACCCTGTATCTAATATTAATTGTTATATATTTAGCAATAGGAAATATGTTGCAACTATTGCATACCCAGCAGAATCTATGACCCTGTCATCGGTCAGTGCCTGTAATTAATGACAATTAATAAAGATACTTTTGTCATGAACTAAGGTCACTTCAATTTTAGACACAATATATACAGGGTGTCCCAATATTTCGTGGACTTAGTAGTTTTGGAATTTTAATACTTTTATAAAGTCTTGGGTGAGAAGGAATCAAACCTTTTGTCATGAACTAAGGTGTTTGATTTTTGTTTAGTCTACGAAATATTGAGACCCCTGTATATATTGTATCTAAAATTGAAGTCAAAATAAAAAAGTAGCCTTGGCAGCATTGCCACGTGCATTCGTCATATATTTTGATGACGTGCAGTCCAACTTTTATTGATTTTCCTATTATAAATTTATCATAAGTTAGGTCCTGTATGTTCTTTCTGGCAGTAACTCTATAAAATGAATCACTAAAGATGCATATCTAGAAACTGCACAGCACCCGTTCCATGGTTTAAATTGAATAGGTTTTTAAGTTCCATTAGGGCCTTATTTGGACGATTTATGCGCTGCAGTTCAAAGACTTTCGCATTTACATACGAACCGACGAAAATTGGATTTAGACCGTTCCATTTAATTACTTTGTTCCTCAACTATAAAGCACGATATTATTAAAGAATAAAAGATTCACGTAGAGTTCACGTAGTAAAATAATCCAACCATAAAATAATACGCTATAAGTTTACGAATAAAACTACTGATGAAAGAATCTATACTAGTTTTATATTCATGCCTTAGAAACGAAATACAATAAAATATAACCAAAAAATAATATACTACAAGTTCTTAAATGTACGTAATACAGGGTGTCTCAGAAATAAGTGCTAGTATTTTAACTGGTATACTTTGTTTTTTTTTTCTCAGGTAAGATATCGACAGACGATGACAGAAAAAAAGCAGATGACGTACAGGGTGGGTCAAATTCGACGCTAAATGGAAACACCCTTTTCTATAGGAGATAGACGAAAACTAATATCGGTGTCTGGAGCTCAAATTTCATCAAAAATATGATGGTGAAAACCGCATATCAATATCTGTTACCGTTTCGGAGTTACGGGGTGTTTTCAAAATGTGCATTTTTAACAAATCGCTGTAACTTTTTGTTATGGAAAATTTTGTATTTCTATGAAAACATTTCCAAAGCACCTTTTTACGTAGAATTTAATGGTTTAAGTATAATTTTTTTTAACATTAATAATTTAAGAGTTATTAACAGAAATATTGATTTTTATTTGGGACACCCTCTATATTTTAATTAACTGAAAAGAATTTAAAATTACCTTTCCAAAATATAGCACACTTGATATTTTGTTATAATCCCCTTCGAAATACAGAATTTTTAAAAGTTCGCCACTTTTAATTAGTAGGCTTTGGACCCCTTATTGATGATATGCCCTTAATGGAACTCGAAAACATATTTTTCCAGCAAGACGACGCACCGCCTCTGAACGCTGAAGTTATTAGCAAATTTTTGCAGCCAATTTCAAGAATAATTGGATAGCTAACCAAGATCCCAGCCATTGGCTGTCGAGGCCGCCTGACTTAGAGCCCATGGATCTAATCCTATGGATATATTTGCGAATAAAGGTTCCTTATTCTTCCGTATAATCTAGACAAGAATTAAAAATACTTAGCAGTTATGAAAGGGTATGTTTCACCCCTACTGAGTTAATGAATTCCGCGAAAAATGTTCAAAAACTGCCCCGTCTGTCCATAACAGATATAAGGTCGATATGTCGAACACCTGTAGCAAAATGTCATGTCTTGGTTTGCTATTTATTTTTATTGTTATTAGATATAGTTTAAATGTGTTGATGTTGGTTAAATATATTTTAAATTGTTATAAAATTCTGCATCTCTCATAGCAAATATTATTTTCGTTTTAATTGATGTTCACAGCTAGAATTTTTTTGCATTACAGCCGGTGCCGTTCAAAGCCTACTTATTTAAAGCGGGCGAATTTTTATATACTCTATATCTCGAAGAGGAATGGAGCAAAATATCAAGTGTGTTATATTTTTGGAAAGGTAATTTTAAATCCTTTTCAATAAATTAAAAATATACCTACAGGGTGTCCCATATAAAAAATCAAATTTTCTGTTGATAATTCTTAAATTATTAATTTAAAAAAAAATTATACTTAAACCATTAAATTCTACGTAAAAAGGTGCTTTGGAAATGTTTTCATAAAAATACAAAATTTTCCATAGCAAAAAAGTTACAGTGATTTGTTAAAAATGCATATTTTTGAAAAACACCCCGTAACTCCGAAACGGTAACAGATATGCGGTTTTCACCATCATGTTTTTGACAAAAATTGGGCTACAGACACCGATATTAGTTTTTGTCTATCTCCTGTAGAAAAGGGTGTTTTCATTTAAAAGCGTCGAATTTGACCCACCCTGTACATACAAATGCATTTATTTCACTAAAAAAGTTTCTAATATTTTTTGAGTTAACTATGGATAAGTTTATATATAAATCCGTTATGCGTCGCCTCTTGTTGTTTTTAACCAGTTTTATTGGTTTATGTCAAAAATGACAGATCATATTTCAATATTATTGGTTTGACGGAACGAAAAACGACAAACGGACGACTATGCGTATGAACTCGATTTAAGATTTTTGAAAGTTGTGAAACTCTTGCCAAATTATAGGTTATAATTTTGTGTGAAATTATTTATTTATTTATTTATTTAATGTACTCCATTCAACAGCAAGCGCCAATTACAGAATAGGTCGTACTGTATCGATTACAAATTAAAATTAAGCAATTTATAGATCATAAAACAAATTAATTATAATAAAAGGTACAAAAAAAATATATACAAAGTAAAAAACAAAGATCAGATCAACAAAATTGACACAAAAAATGATAAAAAGCCGATACTAGTAATTAAAGCTGAAAGCTGGACTCTGAAAATATATCCAAACTGCTCTGGTGTTGATTGTAGGCTAGTTGCATTCTATTAATTGGAGATTTTTTGTTAATGTTAGTCCTAGAAGCGTCGACATAAAATGTGTTGAAGTGTCAGCTGCTGCTCTCGGAACAAAAATATTCAGCCTATTGAAAATATCTGAGCAGTCTGTTTTATTATGAACCACACCATACAGCGTCTTAATGTCAAATATTCCGCGGCGATCCACTAAAGAAGAAAACGAATGACGTTCCAAGAGTTCATCATGAGGGTAGCCTATACAAGGAAGTTTCCATCTATTTTAAAACTAAGAATCTTCAGAAACCGTCGCTGGACACCTTCGATGTTATTTATATGTGTCTGGTAACATGGTGACCATATAACAGATGCGTACTCCAGTTTAGACCTAACAAATGTAAAATATAATAGCTTAAGTGCGTCATAGCTGGAAAATTATTTTACGTTTCTAATAATAAAGCCCACGGCTCTAAAAGACCGCTCTACAATCTTCGATATGTGTGGTACAAAAGACAGCCTGCAATCAAACACAACTCCAAAATTACGAACAGTCATTTCACGTCGGATTTCTTCATTATATAATAAATATTTATGCAAAATTGGGTTTTGTTTTAAGCTGTAAGAAACGACAGAGCATTTTTCTATATTTAAGGGAAGTTTGTTATCTGTACACCAGTCCGTGTTTATTTCCAGCGATTCCTGAAGCTTACGACAATCACCAACAGAGCTCACCCGTGAATAAATCTTGATGTCATCCGCATACAATAAAATGTTGACATTCGAACGCTCAACAACACCATTCATAAAAATGTTGAATAAAAGAGGATCCAAAATTGACTCCTGGGGAACCCCAGAGGTCGCATTCACTTCAAAAGACATTTGACCACAGCATTCCACAATTAATTTCCTGTCACTCAAATTATGTCAAATAGAAGTGATAACTATTTTCCATTTTGTATTTTAGACTGTGTTATTACGTTTGTTTCGTGTTCTTTAAAATTAAGTCGAGGAAAACTCGATGGAAACTTAAGTGTTGAGCCAGACCATAGTTTACAGTTAACAGTCAGTGCACAGAGACCGCCAGAGACACAGATTACTGGAGACCAGCCAGAGAGTTTGTATACCATCTCGTATATGATACCAAAAACTGGAGTATCTATAAAATAACATCACACGACAGGTAAATAATAAATTTTAGTACTGCAGAGAGATAATGTCTAAAGGGACTGGGTTTAAAAAAATTAAGATTAAAGTTAATTAACCAACTTTTAAGGTATAAAATTGAGTAAATGTTATTATTAATAAAATATTTTGTTTTATTTACATATATTGGGTTATATTCCTTTGCAATATTTTTTTTTTGTTTTTACATAAGTTATATTGATAAATGTTAATAATAAATGCAGGGAGTTGCTTGAGCTTGAAAGTAAGAAATATTTTTTATATTTTTTTTGGTATGTGGATGTGGTGTTTTGTCTAAGGTGCGTTTACACCGGCTGCGCCGCTCCGCGCCGCGCAAAACATTTTTTTAACATGTACTTTTGAAGTGTATTTTTTTAACGCGCACAAAAGTATATGTTAAAAAAATGATTTGAGCGGCGCAGCCGGTGTGAACGCACCTTTACAATACACCCTTGTTTGTTTTGCATTAACACATATCGTAATTTTTTTTAAATAAAATAACTCGATTAAATTTTTTCAGTTTTATACAGTGAAAAAAAATTCACAATATTTTGAAGTAATCCCTTGTCACTCAAATCTTAAACAAATTATTTTCTTCTATGCGTTCCAATTGTACCAACTTATTTCTTTGTAAAATAAAATAAACTACTTTGAAATACATCCATGAGTTTTTTTGCAAAAAAAATATATTTTAGACTTTTTTCGAAAAATGTGGAAAAACTTTAGAGTGCCATTGTTCATTCTCTGGAAATTGGTTTACGATGCATGTAGGGAATACCATACACAGGTCTCTACCACTCCTTAAAATACTTGCACTTATTTCTGAGACATCCTGTATAATCATAAAATAACTTATATGGTACAAGAATTTACCGGGTTCTTTTGAAAGCTTTTGAGGCCCTTATAAAAATCGATAGTAATTTCAAAGCCTAATCCGACGCTGTTTTTCGATCGTATTGTACACGTGGAAGTAATTTTTTCACCAAAGTAAATTTTCACCCGGAAAATCTTTATTATACTTCGGTAAAGAAAAAAAGAAAGTTTATATGAGGAAGAGTGGGTTTAGATTAGGTCTTTGTGCCGGAGCTATCGATTTTGCATGACAAAAGCTCTATTGGGACCTTAATAGACTGCTTTTTGAAACTTTATTCGAAATTGCCTGCCAGTAAACGTCCCTAGGAAGACGCCAGCATCTCATATCAAGTCAATTTATTTTTATAAACATAGTTAATGTTGTTTATAAGGAGTAGAGTGCCTAGAAAGATTTATAAAACCTCTTAAAGATCTCTTAGAATTTGTTTCATTTTGTAATTGTATTTTTTTATTATTTCAGATGCTTTCAAAGTGCCAATAAGATGCCAATGGGTCATAGATGCCAGCAATATGGTGTCGCAGAATACTTCCATCATCGTATATCTGACGCAGTTGTTTACATTTGAAGGTAATCACTTTTGGTTGTTTTTATTCACTTTTAACAAATTTATTTGACATGAATTAGTTCATTAGAATGCTTACTTTGGCCGTCTAAATTCAAGAAATCATATAAATTGTTCAAATAAGTTGTGTCACTTTCCAGTTGACTACAGATTAACTTTTGGCGTTCAAGTGGTGTTTTTAAAACGGCGCCAAGTAAGTAGTCTGAAGAAAATGATATATGAAGTTTATTATTAATATTTGCGATAAATATGAGCATATAAATATGATCACACAGAATCCGAAATACAAAATTAGGTAAAGAATTCCTAGCTTAAGTCGAGGACAAACAGCGTTACGAATTAATGTTTCCTGTTGTTTTTTCCTTACATCCAGACGTACCTATATGTGTAGTTCAAGTTTTAAATTATTAGATGAATCATTTTCTTATCCATATTCTTTTTTTACGTCTATTTTTTACGCAATAAACTTTCTGGCAATCTATTGCCAACATTTTGACAGTTTAAAGTTTGAAATACAGCCTTAAGAGACGTCCAGACCGGATAAGCGAGCAGGAGCGAGCAAGAATTCGGGTATGTTCTATGTGAACGCTTAACTGGTGTGGACGGCTCTGCGAGCGAGCGAATGATTGCTTGCTCGCGCTCGACGCTGTTCCACGCCGTGTCGGTACATCAAAGAAAATTCGCGCTATTGCACGTTCGATTTGGACGGAATTTTGTTTACCACGTTTGCGATCGAATATCAAAAATGGAATGGCCGAATGAAGTTGTTTTAGAACTAATAGAGGAGTACAAAAATCGCCAAGACCCGTAAGATTATAGCTAGCCTTCCTCTAGGTGAAATTGCTTTTCGGTAATTGGTATCACTTTTCATTATTTTTATGTCAATTAAATCTAATAAGGTATTAAAATCTCTAAGTGACATCCGACAAAAGTTCTTAAATTTTCCAGAATCTTCTGTTTCAACATCGTTTAATAAATTGTTAACACCATGAGAAACTCGATTTTTAAAAAGAGTTATGTTCCACCATCTCCTCTGTAGTCGTTTTCTCTTTTGACGTTTCAACAAATTATAAAATACAATGAAAGACGCACGAGCAATAATTATTTCCGACATTATGAACATGAAGTGCTACACACCGATCAACGCCGAACATATAAATAATCGCCAGGTCTGGACGGAAGCTGATCATGTGCTCGAGAGCAACAGAAATCACGAGCGAATTTGAATAAATGTTTGCTCGCGCTCGTTACTGCTCACTCATCTGGTCTGGACGCCCCTTTATGCGATGTCGCAATTTTAAATAAATTAGTAGATTCTTTTTGATAACAAATGCCTAAACACAGAATATTCTTGCAAGTGATTTAAACTCCTGGGGCTTGATCTAATGTCATAAAAAAAATTTGATCTGTAGTGAAATGAAACTGTAAATTAACCAACGATTTGTTTATATTTTTTAATATAATATATATTTAACTTATTATGTGTTCAGGGTGGGCCAAATTGAACGCTTTTAAAAGGAAACACCCTTTTCTATAGGAGATAGACGAAAACTAATATCGGTGTCTGGAGCTTAATTTTTACCAAAAAAAAAATTATGGTGAAAACCGCACATCGATATCTGTTACCGTTTCGAAGTTACGGGGTGTTTTTCAAAAAGGGGAATTTTTAACAATTCGCTGTAATCTTTTTGCTATGGAAAATTTTGTATTTTTATGAAAACATTTCCAAAGCACCTTTTTACGTAGAATTTAACGATTTAAATGTATTTTTTTTTTAAATTAATAATTTAAGAATTATCGACAGAAAATTTTATTGAAATTTTATATGGGGCACCCTGTATATTTTTAATTAATTGAAAAGAATTTAAAATTATCTTTCCAAAAATACAGCATACTTGATATTTTGCTCGATTCCTCCTCGAGATATAGAATTTTTAAAAATTCGTCCACTTTGAATAAAGAGGCTTTGAACGGCGCCACGCCGGCTGTAATGCTAAAAAAATTCTAGCTGTGAGCAGCAATTAAAACGAAAATAATATTTGCAGTGAGAGATGTACAATTTTATAACAATTTAAACTATATTTAACATCAACACATTTATACTATATCTAATAACAATAAAAATAAATAGCAAACCAAGACATGAGATTTTGCTACAGGTGTTCGACATGTCGACCTTCTTCTCTTATACACAGACAAGACCGTTGTTGAACATTTCTAGGAAGATACTCTTGCTCAACCGCTAAGTACTTCTAATTCGTATCTAGATTATATGGGCAATTTAAAAATAAGAACCCTTTGTTCTTCCGCAAAGAGAAAATCCACAGGGTCTAAGTCCGGAGGCCTCGACAGCCAACGGCTGGGATCTTGGTTAGCTCTATTCAATTATTCTCGAAATTGGCTGCAAAAATTCGCTGATAACTTCAGAGTTCTGAAGAGGTACCTCGTCTTGCTAGAAAAATATGTTTTCGAGTTCCATTAGGGGCAGATCATCAATAAGGGGTCCAAAGTCTACTAGTTAAAAATGGCGAACTTTTAAAAATTCTGTATTTCGAAGGGGACTATAACAAAATATCAAGTGTGCTATATTTTTGAAAAAGGTAATTTTAAGTTATTTTCAGTTAATTAAAAATATACAGGGTGTCCCAAATAAAAAATCAATTTTTGTGTTGATAACTCTTAAATTATTAATTTTAAAAAAGTTATACTTCAACCATTAAATTCTACGTAAAAAGGTGCTTTGGAAATGGTTTTCATAAAAATACAAAATATTTATCATAGCAAAAAAGTTACAGCGATTTTTTAAAAATGCATATTTTTGAAAAACACCCCGTAACTCCGAAACGGTAACAGATATCGATGTGCGGTTCTCACCAACATGTTTTTGATAAAAATTGAGCTCCAGATACCGATATTAGTTTTCGTCCATCTCTTATAGAAATGGTTGTTTTCCTGTTAAAGCGTCTAATTTGACCCACCCTGTACAGTTGTATCAACATGAATTGTAGATTGTAGATTCTATGGGAGAAGGAAAATTGATGGTCACTGATCTTTTTGTATCAACAAATATAACAGAAGTATTCTAAAGTAATCGCAAAACATTTTCCGATGCACGTCATCAATCATATCGACATTGACATTAAAGTCTATAAACCTTACTAAATGAAATTTTGGCAAAAATATTTAAATTTTTTGTATAATTTAAGATACCGAGCAGCTATTCATTTTATTTTATAGAGCAAATGATTGTAACAGATATTTTATTTAGATTAAAGCTGCAACAATTAGTTTAAACCGAATTTTATTATTGTTATGTTGGTCACATTGCGTTGTGTTCAGCAATGTTGTCCTTTATTATTTGACAATTATCTTAATGTCAGTAATTATTTTGTATAATATCGTGTTATTGTTGAATCTTTGTGAGAAATTCTCATTTTTGTGCCTATTTTCGTAGTCTTTTTTTAAAAATTGCACTTTTAAGCACAAACATTTCTTTTAAGAACTAAATATTCGAATTTTTGTATTGCATTTCTTGAAATTGTGTGTTGAAAATGTGCCAAAACATTTATACAGATGAAGCAAAGAGCTTGTAGCCTTCCCAGATTAACAATTTGAACGAGAACGTGACAATAAAGGTCGTTTATTATCCTTGACTGCAGGCAGAGAAGTAAGTGACAAGCACATTATACCACTTTTAAAGTTAGTTTTTATTAAATTCTGTGATTATTAGTTTGGTTTGGTTTGGTTTGGTTTGGTTTTTTTATTTGGTTTAAAAAAACGTTTCGGCTAACTAGAGCCTACATTAGTGTTGTGTCATATGAGAAAAATAGTGTCGAATATAATCCAAAAAATTACATATACAATATAATTCACACCTCATAATGTTTACTGCAATTAATAAACTAATATAAACTTATCAAAAGATGACCACATATTTTATGAGGTGTGAATTATATTGTATATGTAATTTTTTGGATTATATTCGACACTATTTTTTTCATATGACACAACACTGATGAAGGCTATAATATTAGCCGAAACGTTTTTTTTTTAAACCAAATAAAAATAATGAAAAACCAAATGAAAACTTAATCAGCGTTTTTCCCGAACCTAAATCCCAAGAAAATCAAAAAATTTAGAATATTTAGAAACAAGGTTCAAGAATATCAAATTTTCTAAGATTGTAAAATTCTAGTTAATTATTTTATGTGTACAGTTATTTAGGGATGTCATCGATGTTCATTTCAAGCCAACTAGACGCCGATTTTTCGATGATACGGTATAATTTTACGTAAAATGTAAATAACATTAGAACAATTAAAACAAAGAAATATGAATTTCTTAGTATTTTAGTAACACCTTTATTCTTAAAACTTAATTTTGTATTATGCAAATATACCAATTTTATTGTTATTTTATTCATATTGTATTCAGCCATCACTTAAATATTTGATATTAATTTGGTATTATAAATCAACACTATTCATTAAAAATTACTGAACAAATATATGTTATGCTTGACATACATTATATATTATGAAACAAAAACACATTCTTCTTTTAAACTGTATCAGTCTTGTTTTTACAAAAATCTTTTTTAAAATTTGAACTCAAAATAATAATCTTTTTCATGATCTTTAATACACATATTCTTTATTTTTCCCTAGATCATAATACCTACTTACGTGTTTGAATCTATCAAAGCTGAACCAACAACACTTGGAGTGGAGATTCCACAATATGAATAAAATAAACATAATTGTCCAGTTATCATTAATACCATCATGGGAGAATATTATTTTTAAATTTATTAAAGATATTTTCAATAGAATTCTCTTGATTTATAACTCGTACCCACTTTTCTTGCTCTTCCGGACACTTAAGGCTACCTAGTATAACTATCCTTTCCACCAGGAACACAACAAAGATGAGGCATAGCACCAAAAACACACTCCACTTAAGCTTTATTGATGAATTGTTAGAGTTTTAAAAAACACACACAAAA